TTTAAAAAAATAAAAATAAAAAAATAAATTCATTAAATAAATGTCCATTGATAACTAAATATATATAAATAAAAAAACAAAAAGGGTTGGGGATATGGCTCAGGGGTTAATCTCCACTAGGTTCAATCCCCAGCACAAAAAAAAAAAAAAAAAAAACCTAGATGCATTAAGATAAGCAGGAGCCAGGCTTGGTGGTTGGTACACACCAGTCACTTGGGAGGCTAAGGCAGGAGGATCCCAAATTTAAGGCCAGTCTCAGAAATTTAGCAAGGTTCTCAGTAGCTTAGCAAGACCCTGTCTCAAAAAATAAAAAGGGGGGCTGGGGTTGTAGCTCAGTGGTAGAGTGCTTGCCTCGCACTCGTGAGGTCCTGGGTTCATACTCCAGCACCACATAAAAATAAACAAAAATAAAGATATAAAAAAATAATAAAAAGGGTTGGGGATGCCACTATGACACACACCTGTAATCCAGCAACTATGGAGGCTGAGGCATGAGGCTTCCAAGCCTCAGGAACTTAGTGAGCCCTAAGCAACTTATTCCAAAGCAACTTAGTGAGACCCTTCTCAAAATAAAAATTTAAAAAGTGTTGGGCACCTAGCTCAGCAGTAAAGTGCCACTGGGTTCAATCTCTAGTACTAAAAAGCGGGGGGGGGGGGGGGGGGGGGGGGGGGGGGGAGGATAAGTCTATGACTACTAGAAAATGGTTTACTATATTTTGTAAATGATAATGAATTATGAAAATAACTATTTTGGCCAGCAAATTCTAAATTCCAATTTATTAGGCTTTGGGAAAATAAAGATCTACATCACTGCTATTTTTAAAAATAAAATTTTTTGAAAAGGAAATTAAAAATCACAAAGGTCTGATTGGACCAGACTGGTGATTTTCTATGTATTCAAAGTATTTTGAAGCAGAATGTGGAAGCACCTGGAGTTGCAACTACTTGGGAGTCTGAGGCAGGAGAGTGGCTTGATCTTAAGAGTTTGAGACCAGCCTGGGCAAGATAAGGAGAGCTCCTCTCAAAAACAAAACAAAAAACRTGTTTAGAGACTGACGACATCAGGAGAGAACAAAAATGTGGGGAAACAAATGCTCTTGTCCACTGCTAGTGGATAAATCAGTGAAGCCTGTACAATGCCAATTATATCTTTTGACCTGGTAATAATACTCTTAGGAATCTTTCTACGTAAAGTTCTCCAAAAACAAAAATTGCAGGATAATAAAACACAATGGTATTTAGAGTAAAAGGGAAAAAAAAAGAAAAAGAGCTGAAAGAATGATTCTCTTCAGGAAGATGAATGGAAAGGAACGAACAGAATTCATATTTTGCTCTCTGTAGTTATGATTTTTGTTTGTTTTTGTTTTTGAGATGGGCTCTCACTGTGTTGCCCAGGTTGATCTCAAACTTGGGGATCAATGAATCCTCCCAACTCAGTCTCTTGAGTAGCTGGGACTTCAGATTTTTGCCACTATGCCAGGCATTATTTTATTTTATGTTATATTGTTTGATATACTTCAATAGTTCCCTCTATCTGAGGTTTCTATACTTTGGTACCTGTAGTCAACTATGGTCTGAAAGTATTACATAGAAAATTCCATACAGACCACATTCACACAACTTCTATTACTGTATATTGTAATAATTTTTCTATTTTATTATTGTTGTTAATCTCTTACTGTGTCTAAATGATAATTAAACTTTTTCATAGTCATGCATAAGAAAAAAACAAAGTAAACCATAGGGTTTGGTACTATTCATGGTTTTGGACATCCACTGAGGGGTCACAGATAAGGTAGGGTGGGGGAATACTGTACCAAAAAGTATATTTCACTATCATTCATATAATTTTTTTTCTTTTTTTTCTTTTTGGTTCTATGGATTGAACCCAGGGTACTTAACCACTGAGCCACATCCCCTAAAATATATGTGTGTATATATAATATTTATTTAGCAACAGGGTCTCACTGAGTTGCTTAGCACCTCATTTTTGCTGAGGCTGGCTTTGAACTCACAATCCTCCTGTCCCAGCCTCCCAAGCTGCTGGGATTACAGGTGTGAGTCACCAAGCCCTGCTCCCCAGCCCTTTTATGTTTTGAGACAGGGTCTTACTAAGTTGCTGAGGCTGGCTTTGAAYTTACAATCCTCTTGCCTCAGCCTTCCAAGCTGCTGAGATTAGAGTGTGTGCCACAATGCCCAGCGCAATTTTAAGAAATTATTTTAATTCTTTAGCCAGTGCATACTTGTCATCCCAGTGATTCAGGAGACTGAGGCAGGAGGATCACAAGTTCCAGGCCAGCTTCCGAAACTTAGTGAGGACCTAAGTAACTTAGCAAGAACCTGTCTCAAAATAAAAAATAAAAAGGGCTAGGGGTTCAATCCGTAGTAACCAAAACATAAAAAGCCAGGGATACAGCTCAGTGATAGAGCATCCATAGGTTCAATCCCTAATATCTTAAAAAATCATTTTTAAACAAAAGTAAAAATGAATATTATCATATAGAAAAAAAATTGGCAGGGGGTTACTATAGATTGAACCCAATGATGTTTTACCACTAAGCTATATCCCCAGCTCTTTTTATTTTTCAGATAGGGTCTCACTAAGTTGCCCAGGCTAGCTTGGAACTTGCTTTCCTTCTGCCTCAGCCTCCCTACTAGCTATAGGTGTGTACCACCATGAAGGCTAGCATACAACTCTTATATACCATCCATGTAGATGCTGATCATATGAACTACAAATCAAACTGTCAATTGTGTGTGTGTGTCTGGTGATAGAGACTCAACCCAGAGCTACAAGCACACTAGGCAAGTGCTTAGCCACATCCTCAAGTCTATATTTAATTTTTAAGTATATGTTGTATAAGACCTACTCTTTAACTTTTAATTATTAGGACTGGGGAGGTGACCCAGTTGTAGAGTACTTGTCTAGCATGCAGGAGGCTCTGAGATTTATTTCTAGTACTGGAAAAAGAAATTAAGCATAAAACAAACATTTTACATTCACAATATGAATGTATAATAGAATGGATGATCTTTTTCAGGGATCACTTTCATTTCTATAATAACCCAAACCAGAGAATATTTTCTCTAGATATGTTCCCATAGAATAAGGAGGTTCCTATTTTAACAATCTAATGTTTTTTTGTTTTTGTTTTTCATAGCATTGGGGATTGAACGCAGGGATATTATTCTACAGAGCTATGTCCCCAGACCTTTTTATTTTTTGAGACAAGTTCTCACTAAGTTGTTGAGCAAAGGGTACCCTTGAACTTGAGCTGGGATTGCAGGGGTGGGGTGCACCACCATGTCCAGCTACGCTATCTACTATTTCAATGTATTTGTTTAATAGATCTCAAACTTTGAGTTCTTATCACCATTTGAAGTTTGAAATTTAAAATAATTCTGATTGCTCTACAAAATGGAAACCAGTTCTAGGGTACATGTTGAAAAAATGTTTAATAAAGAAAAAAAATTTACAAACAATTAAGCATTTTCTGAAGATCACCTATTAGAAAACAAAATGGTATTTCTCCCCCAAATCAACCCACTAAATATTTTTTAAACACAAAATAACAGTAATTATGGCCTCAAAAATACATTTTCTAGGCTAAGATAGAAAGGGAGGGATTCTAAAGTGAATTTTTTTAAATTTCATGATACCTTTAAGACCGTGTTTCAGACAATGTTCCATAACGACAAAGAACTGCTGCAAAGGGGGATAGTCGGAGTCCAAAGTGCGACCAAAGCTGAGAGCAGATTCAATGAGTCCTTTAATACTCAGTTTAGCCATGTTTAACAAGTTTGCTCTCTCTACAGCTGTAGGGTCTTTTGTAGCTGGAAATACAAGAAAGGAATCCAATATCACTCACAAGACAATAAAAAATATACAAACTTTGTCCCTTCCTCTATAAAATGAACACTGGTTTGCTTTTCCTTTTTCCTGAATATCTCCTACCTAATTTCTCTTTATGTCTCTCTCACTCGTACCATAGCAAACTGCCATGCCTGCTCCAGACAAAGGTCTGAATCATTTTTAAGTTTCTGCAGTTTTGCCATTCTCCTACAGTTGTTTTACTTTATGGAAACTCTTCCCTAACAAAATGAGTTTTTAAAAATTATTTTCTAAGGAGATAGGTTGGGGACATAGGCGACACATTTAAGGGTCTCATGCAAATGGTAGATAACAGATATGCTCTTAAGGATAAATTCCAAGCAAAAAATATTCAGAATAAACCTATAATAAAATAAAAGGTAARGCTCTAAGATACTACTATCTCTCATAACAAACACAGCAGTTAAAACAGTAACACCGACAAAAACGGAGAAGCGGAAGCTGCTCAATTCTTTCAGTCACTTCAACTTTCTTTCTATCTTGTTTTTCCATTCCAATTGTAGTTTTGTATTGCATGAACCACAGTTCCCTGTCCTTCCATATAGCTGATGATGTCTGTGTTTGAGTTTGAATGCCAAGACATATTTTAAAGTCCAGATTTTTAAATGACATTTTCAACTCCCAAATATATCTTCTCTCTCACAAATTTTATTCTTTAAGAAATACAGATGCTTCCCCATACTCTCATCACTTGTGACTGGCAGGAATATTTTCAGAAAACAGAGATGACAAAGCTGAGGTGCGGAAAAATGAAACACTTTGTGGTGCGTGCCTATAATCCTAGCGACTCTGAAGGGCAAGACCTGCAAATCTGAGATCAGCCTTGGCAACCTAGCAGGACTCTATTTCAACATAAAAAATTATAGAAAGGGCTGGGGATATAGCTCAATAGTAGAGCGTCCCTGAGTTTAATCCCCTTTAGCACAAAGGGGGAACAAAGCACTTCGTATAACACTTAATTATCTATAATATCTGACTAATGTACAAGCCCAAGTAGTCAAAGTGCCCATTTTTCCTTCACTGAACAAAAATTCAGAGTTCTGCATAATTTAGTATTCTAGATCTGACTTCAGCTAGCTATCATGAAGCATGACATTGAATTCTTAAGAATTTAAAACCCAAACCCAAGTGTTATGACCAGGCCGACTTAATGGAATACGTGTGCACCATTATTTCTTCAAATCTGCATGGTGGTAGGGCTCCCCAGTGAAACCACCTGATGTGTCATAATCTGTGACGATTCTCATTTTATMGTGCCCATCAAAACCCGTAACGCGGGATATGACAACCATACAAAGGGTGACCGCAGTTGCTGGGCGCAGGTTGGTGCTAAGTACCAGAGACTGCCAGGCGGAGGACCTTTACGCTGCGGCCACGCCCTAGCAGGACTCCGTGACTCGGTGAGGCTGCAGATGCACAGAGAGACCAGGCAATGGGCCCCTCTGCGCACCTAGCCGAGGCCTGGAGCCCGTTCCCTGCCTCTCCTCCTACCCCAACCCCAGGCCGCCTCCCGAAGCCCCCCCAAGACCCCCGCGGAGGGCTCACCCAGGGTCTGGCACGGCATCGCTCCCCCTCTCTCGGCGTGGGGCGCCCAGGCCAAAACCTGAGATGCGTCTTCCCTCCGCCACCCCCAAATCTGAAAAGTCATCGCTCTTCCCAGACTGTGACCCCGACCCCGGAGCGAAACCCAGCCCGCCTGGTCCTCGCTYCCTGGAAGCCGTCAGACCTGCAGTCCTCGGCCACCAGACCCCAGAATCCAGGCGGGGGCGGGAAAGAACAAGGTGGGGCCGCGCGTTGCCATGGCGACCCCGAGCCCCCGAATCTAGGCTGCCCCCGCCCACCCCAGGTTCCGGCCCCAGATCCGACTCCACGGCTCCCGCAGCCCCCGCGCGGGCCTCCCCGCCCGGCCGCAGCCTGCAGCCCGCGACCGAGGGCGGCGTCAGCTGTCGGCCGGCTCCCCTTACCCATGGCGGCGGCGCGGTCTCGGGCGGGGGCTCCCTGGGCCCGGCCACTAGCTCCCTGCAGCCGCTCGGCGGCCGCCACCGCATCTGCACCGGGCCCGCTGCGGCCCACAGCGCCCCCGGCGGCGGGAGGACGCCCGGGCGGCCCCCGAGGGAAGCGGCGCCCGGGCTCCGGTGGGAGACGACGGAGCCTGCAGCCCGCACGGGAGAAAGCCCGCCCCGCTCAGCCTCGGCGTCCACTCGACCCGGAAGAGAAGGAAGGGAGCTCGACCAGAGCTCGGGAGTGGGAGCCGGCGCCGGACCTCGGCGGGGCTTCTCTCCCCGGCGCCTCGCCAGAGCCCAAATCCCGGGTTTTAACGGGGGATAAGAGGCGCGTGCAAACGGTTCCGTGCCCACGGGCTGGCCCAGACCTCGCCTCTCACCTTCTCAAACTCACAGCGGACCAGGGAATGCAGAAAACAGGACGCAGTTCACAGTAGGTAGAAGCCCTTGAAGTTAGGCAGGCAGCTCCAAATCACGGCGTTAAATCAGGAAATACACAGGTTTATAAGGTGTCACGAGCAACGGTCCCGTTGATCAAGGAGAGGTGTGAGGGAAAACTAGTGTTTTCTCCTTCGGGGAGCGGAAAAATGAGAACAGCGCTAGGCACCGGCGGCGCTCGCCTGTGATCCCAGCGACTGGGGAGGCTAGGGCAGGAGGATTGCGAATTCGAGGCCAGCCTGGGCAACACAGCAAGATCCTGATTCAGAATAGAAAATAAAAAGGACTGCGGAGGTAGTGCAGACGTAAAGCGTTCCTGGGTTCAATCTCCCGTGCCACTAAATAAATAAATATGTTTAAAAATAAAACAATGCTCGAAAGTAATTATTTTTAAGTTAATGTATTTTTGTTTGAGTTTTTAGCCCCTAAGCCATTATTATAATTATTATTGTGAGGCAGGATCTTGCTAAATTGTTTAGGGTCTTGATAAACTGCTGGAGCTGGCTTTGAGCCTTGAACTTGAGAACCTCCTGCCTCAGCCTCCTCAGTCGCTGGGATTACAGGCATGCACCCCTGCACCCAGCAAAAGTAATCTATTACCTGGTCAGATCTGTAGCAGTTCAGATTATAACTGAACTTGAAAGACCTGGTATCTTGTGAAATTGAAATTCTCTTTATCAATTTGGCTACTATAAAGTTCTGTTCTGTTTCTTGTGGTTTTAAATTTTCTTTATTGTGAGATAATCATAAATGGATAAAATGTATAAAAAATATGTACTGGTTCCTTAAAACATATAGTATATAGATAGATATCTTTTATAGTGATTCCTTAAACCATACATATACACTGTGTATATATATATATATATATATATACACACACACACACACACACACACACACACTGAAACCATATATATACACTACATATATGGTTTAAGGAATCACTATAAAGTAATCATCACCACATCAAGCATAGAACAGAGTCACCCTCCCAGGAAAATCCCCCTAAACAGTAGTCTCACTCATCCCCCAGAGTTAAATACCATTCTGACCTTTATGAGAAAAATTTTCTTGCTTTTATGTATAACACCATCACCTAAGTATGTACCCCTAAACAATGTCGCTTCCAACCCGCATAATACTGAGTAATTTTGTTGCTTTTTTCTTTTGCACACCACCATGTTCTTGAGATTCATCCAAGTCCACAAGGAGTTTCCACTTTGGACTGTTTTCAAGGTGCACATCCATCCTTCAGTGCATGTGCTAAAAGTCTCAAAGGCATATGATTAACTGGAATTCCTGGAAATGCGGGTATACCTTTCTTTAAACTGACCAGATAAATTCAAAATGGTTTCAAAACTTTTTCCACAATCTGCACTCCTACCAGCACTTAACGTTTTCAGTTGCTTAATGTCCATTCAAGTGCTTGGAATTGTCAAATTGTTTTCCAGTTTTGTGAATATGCACTTGTATGGTGAGTTTACTTTGTATTTATCATTATTACTAATAACATTGAGCACTTTTGCCCATATTTTCTACTTACTTGGAGATCCAAGTTTGCCAAGAAACTGTTCAGGTCTTTAGCCCATTCTTGTATTGTCTTTTCTTCATTGGCTTGTATGATTTTCCTAACATGCTACATACTACTCTGATGTCAGTTATATGTTGCCAGTATTAGGGGTTTTTTTGCCTGATTTTTCTCTTTATGATGACCTTTGATAAGTATGTATTCCAATTTTCTTTCTTTGTTGCCATTTTTTCTTTTCTTTTTTTTGAGGGGGGTGTAATGGGGTTGAACTCAGGGACACTCCACTGAGCCACATCCCCAGCCTTTTATTGTATTTCATTTAGAGACAGGGACTTGATGAGTTGTTTAGGGCCCCGCCAAGTTGCTGAGGCTGGCTTTAAACTTGCCATCCTCCTGCTGCAGTTTCCCTAGCCACTGGAAATACAGATGTGCACCACTGTACCAGGCTTTAATTTTCTTATAGTTACATTTATGGTTTATGCTTTAGTATCTTGTTTAAGAAATCCTCACTACCCCAGCTGCATGAAAATCTTGAGAGAATAGCTTTGCTTTTCATATTTAGGTCTGTTATGGCATCCAGAATTGATTTTTGTGAATAATGTGAGATAGGTCCTTATGTACAGTCAACTGTACTGTTTTCATTTCATGTTGATCTCCTTTATCCATCAATGAACATATATGAGCAGGTCAGTTTTTAGGCTGAAATCTCATTTGGCTTTCGAAATCACCCTACCAGAAGGAATTACACCCAATTTACAGATGAAGAAACTAACTTCAGAAAGGGTAAATAATCTGCCCAATGTCACAGAACCAGAATTTTAACCAGCACAAAAATAGTCACCATTTTCATAATCTCAAAATGAACATTTGATAGTGTTTCATAGAGTTTAAAATTCATGAAAAGTTTAAATTGGTCTACTGTTATCTGGCAATTAAAAGTGCAGGGCTGGGGCTGTAGCTCAGTGGTAAAGTGCTTGCCTCGAATGGGTGAGGTACCAGGTTCAATCCTCAGCACCACATTAAAAATAAATAAATAAAGATACTATGTGTTCATCTACAACTACATAAATATTAAAAAAAAAAAAAAGTTCAGGGCTGAGGGGCTGAGGTTGTGGCTCAGTGGTAGAGCGCTCACCTAGCACGTGGGAGGCACTGGGTTCAATCCTTAGCACCACATAAAAATAAATAAATAAAACAAAGGTATTGTGTCCAACTATAACTAAAAAAAAATAATAATTGAAATAAGAGCTGAGTATGGTGACTCATTTCTGCAATTCCAGCTATAGGGAAGCCTGAGCCAGAAGGTTGGGAGTTTGAGTCCAGTCTAGGCAACATAATGAGATCCCAATTAAAAAAAAAAAAGTTGTGATACTGGGGCTGTGGCTGTGGCTCAGTGGTAGAGCGCTCCTCTCGAATGTGCGAGGCCCTGGGTTCAATCATAAGCACCACGTAAATAAAATAAAGGTATTGTGTCCACCTACAACTAAAAATATATAAATATTAAAAAAAAACTGTGATACTACTGGATTGTTCATTTTCATCCTCTCCAAATGACAGGTTAAAGAAGGAATTTTCTTTTTTTGGTCAAACCCCATATCAGGACCTGTTACCCCTAAGCTACATCCCATACATTTATTTATTTATTTTTGAACCGGGGATTTAACCCAGGGGCACTTTACCACTAAGCTACTTGCCCTGCCCTTTCTATTTTTTAAAGACAGAGTCAAGTTGCCTGGTTCAGTTGCTGAGGCTGGCCTTGAACTTCCCATCCTCTCAACTTCTCTAGTCTGGAGGATTACAGGTGTGTGCTAAATTGGGCAGCAGGAATTTATATTCAAAGGGAATTTAGAAAAGCAAATAAAATTTTACTACATATTTAATTATTTGAACACCCAAGCTTCTGATCTGGAGTCAGATGCACAACCTTTGCACCATGAAGTCTCCGTTAAGATATTTTTTGAGGTGCACTGGTTCTGGGAATCAAATTTAGGGTATTCTACCACTCCAGCACTCTACCACTGAGCTACATCCTCAGCCCATAATTATTTAATAGAACCATGAAAACAATGCAAAAGAGCTTTATTTTATAGATTGTTTTTCCACTAGGGACTTCACAGGTAACTAATAGAAGTTTAATTTTAAAACAGCTACCAAATGTGCTGGTGTACGCCTATAATTTAAGATACTCAGGGGGCTGAGGCAGGAGGATCTTGAGTTCAAAGCCAGCACCAGTAATTTAGCAAGGCCCTAAGCAGCTCAGCGTCTCTAAATAAACTATTTTTAAAAATGGGCTGGGGATGTGGTTCCATGGTTAAGCACTTCTGGGTTCAACCCCCAGTACCAAAAAAAAACAAAAAACCAGCCGTATGTATGTATGTATGTATGTATGTATGTATGTATTTATTTATTTTTTTTTTTTTTAAATATTTATTTTATTTAGTTCTCGGCGGACACAACATCTTGTTGGTATGTGGTGCTGAGGATCGAACCCAGGCCGCACGCATGCCAGACGAGCGCGCTACCGCTTGAGCCACATCCCCAGCCCTGTATGTATGTATTTATTGTGCCTCTAGGCATATAATCCAGGGCCATCTACCACTGAGCATTTTTAGTTTTATTTTAAGACACGGTCCGGGGGCTGGGGTTGTAGCTCAAGGGTTGAGCGCTTGCCTTGAATATGTGAGGCACTGGAATGGATCCTCAGCATCACATAAAAAATAAATAAAATAAAATAAAGATATTGTATCCATCTACAACTAAA